TTCCCCAATGAACAGTCACTCTCGTAAAAAACCTCAGATCCTTTTGGGGAAGGCTGGGAGAAAGATTGACATTATAAATTTTTGGCAATGTAGTGGGGTCCTTCCTCAAAGGGACCCAGCCTCCCCTTCATTCAAGGGGTTGTGGGTCTGTAAACTGACTCAAGTCTGGAAATTGATTGAGAGGCCATGACTCTGTATTCTGGTGATTCAATCTAGGCTGCTGTTCACATGACCTACAATTCTTCTGTCTATACAGATCAAGTAAATATTTAATAGGTTTGCCATGTATTTCACTACTAGGAACACCATGCACAAGTAGCCCATGCCATAATTCCACGAGTCAGAGTATTCTAATTACTGTTCCAACTCTGCTGTCCATTATGGTAACCACGCCCACCTTGCCTTTGTCGATTAACTGCTGTCTTGGCCCCTACTACCATGGGGTCTGATCAGCCCCATCATAGTTAAGTGTCCTAGTTCAATTAAGGCAGTTCCCACTGTCAAATCTAGCTTACATAAAATAGCAAACACAGAAGTCTTCAAGGATGCTGGGGCTCCCTTCACAAATTTATTCCTCACTATACTGAAAGGCATGTCTTCTGGACTCCCCATTTCTGGCTCTAGGGATCTAATCTGATAAATCCACTCTAACAGGGCAATTTCCCTAAGCCTCTGGATACCTTATTCTATATTATACCAAGGCAGGTCTGGTACTTCAACTTGACTTAAGGTAGGCCACCGCATAATCCATGCTTCAGTAAGCCAACCAAATAAACTATTAAATTCTTTCCTAACCTCTTGAGCTGAAACACTGAATGAAGAATCCGTACTTAGTAGGCCTAAATCAATAAGCTCAGACTAATCCAATGCTTCATTCCTTACAACATTATCCCATACCCTCAGCAGCCATTCCCACACATATTCTCCAGGTTTCTGTCTGTACATGTTAGTAAAATCAAGTAGGTCTTTTCGGGTGCAGCATACCACCTCCTTAGTCACACTTTGTATTTGACCTTTTGGCTTGCTTGGACTTAACTTTAGTTACAGGTCTAGCAGCAACAATGGTGGTTGGAGCAGTTCCTGAGAACATTCAGCAATGTTTTCCATGGCCTCTGCCTCAGGCAATGACCTAGCAGGAATAGTTTGGTCAATTCCATCAAACTGAGGTAGAGGGGATAGTGGTTTTACAGTAATCTTTTCAGATGGGAGGGATTCAACAGAATTTACAGGCTCCATGTCCTGATCTTCCTGACTATCTGCCCATATGTCCCCAATTCCAGATTTTTTCCCAATCAATGCCCTTACTTTAACTTCAGATACCATTCTGGGTTGGCAATTTAATTGGCATTGTAATTCAGCCACCCTTACAATAAGACTCTGGGTTTGGTTTTTGGCAATGTCAGCTCTGTTACTAGAAGAAATAAGCCTTTCTTTCAGAGGACAACTGGAAACATTGAGGTCTTTTATGCGGCACTTAAGCTGTGATTCAGCAGCCCTGAACCCATCTTGCTCTTTCACCACTCTGTCTAGCGTTAAGTAGGACCAACCAACCAATTTCCTTATACTCCTTATGCTGACAAAATTGCAGAAAAGTATCAAATATGGGATCACCCAGAGCCTCACTTCTCAAAAGTACTTGATCTATCGGTGGTGCTATTTTGCATATTAACGTTGCCACCTCACGCCACAGATTAGCATGGCCTTCTTTACTAACAGAGGCAGGGTCATCAGTGCCTTTACGATTAATCAAATTAGAGAACCAATTTAGGAAACCCATCCTTATGATTTTGTCTCTCTAGAACCACTCCCAGGACCAAACGTGTTAGACTGGGTTCTCTAGAGAAGCAAAACCAGTAACGCTTACATAGAGAGAGAGAGAGAGAAAGAGAAAATTATCTTAGGAAAATGGCTCACACACTTACAGATGATAGCAATTCCCAAGTTCTTGGATCAAATGTCAAGCTGGAGGCTTTTCCTGACTCACACAGCTGCAGGGGCTGATGAGCTCAAGGTTGGCAGGCAGTACACTGGCTGTTGACTCCAGTGAATGATGAATCCAAGACCTCCAGGCCAAACGGTGGATTGTTTGCTCACAGACAGTTATAGGCAGCACAACAGAATCCCGATCCACAGAAGAATGTCTCTTTTCCCAGGATGTCCATAAATATACTGAAAGCAGGCCACCCGTAGGGAAATTCCCTTTCAGGGGATTGCCCACTCAAAAACATATACATCTGATCCCATCATTGGAAAATCCCACATCACAAGTGCTTAAACCACACAGAATTGTGGTCCAGCCAAGTTGACACACAGCTCCAACTATCATACCTTATTTATTCTTGGTCTTTTTTTTTTTTTTTCCATTTTTTAAAATTTTTATTTTTATTGTGATTTGGGTGAAAGTTTACAGAGCAAATTCATTTTATATACAGCAGTTCATACACATTTTGTTCATGACACTGTCTACAATCCCCACAATATAACAGCTCTCTTCCCACTTCCTCCCTGTAGTTACCTCTTCCCTGTCTTTCTTTCCTATGCATTCCTGCCCCCGACCTATCTCCCTATGCAAACACTCTTCCTTCTGTTCTCCCATGACTGATCATCCATAGGAGTGTATCTACTTGGTATAAATGTTCACCCTATATGTCTATGTACTGTTTAGCTGGAAGCCACAGGAGTGAGTTCAGTTCCAGGCCTGAAAGGTAACTAGAGGCCATGGTCTTTTTTTTTGGGGGGGGGGTTCACCAGGCTCTATTAGACCAGTAAACCTGGTCATTTTTATGATTTTGAGTTTTGTTACCCATTGTTCTCCCACTCTATCCAGGATCTCCTGCACTGATCTCTTTCTGAGTGGTTAACAGTGGTAGTTGGACACCACATAATTCTGGTCTCATGGTCATACAGCCTGAGGTTCACATGGTCCACTAGTCCCTTGAACTAACTGCCTCCATGCATCTTTGGTTGCTCCAGATGAGGAGAAACCAATTGTTGCATCTAGATGGCTGCTTACAAGCTTTTAAGACCCCAGTCACTACTCACCAAAATAGGATACAGAACAATGTTTTTGTGCAGTATGTTATACCAACTGAGCTTGATGTCCCCTGTGACCGTGGTCCCATATTCCCAGTCTTTTAATAAAAGAAAAAAAATACATGTTTCTAATTCTTGAGAGGCTTGCTGATCTATGGTCAGGATGTTCTCCTATTACAATAGACTCCTACCCCAATTATAATGCCCTTTTGTCCCTTATTTTCCCTTTTTATTCTAAATAAAGCCTCTCCCTATCAAAGTCTGGATTTGTTTTTTTATTTGACACATCGAAGCTGTGTGGTATACTGGAGGAGACTAGGCATCAAAAGACTTGTTTTAGTGCCTGCATGTTTACCTTGTAACCACAAAAAAAGTAAATGATATTCAGTTTCCTCATACATAAAAAGAGGGAACACAACCACGTTATCAATCAGAGTTAAGTAGCAGAATCACCTGAGAAGTTTTTACAAACTCCACAAACTTTCCTTTCCCTTTGCAGAGAATCCAGATATTGCTTCACTACTAGAAATATCTTCCAACTTTGAAGTCTGAAATTCTGTATTAGCAAGTTCATTAAGAAAAATTCACCAGAAATAATTTCTTTACCACACACAAAAAAACTTCAGAGAAAAGTAGAGGAGTAACTACATTTTTTCCAATTTAAATTTTATTCTCATGGACAATACTAATTTTCTTAAATTATCATATAGATTGTGTCCATACTAAAAAGGAATAAGCTGGTATAACATCTTTAAATGCCTTACCTTGTACAGCTCAAAATAAAGTGTTTTTGATATTGGATGTGGACTAATAAAATTTAACTTACCATATAATCCATGTGCTCAGACTAATTATAATACAATGCCACTCTTTTCTTGAACTCTTGAAGTGCTTCAGTGAATGCTGGCTTTCTGAGTTTTTACCACATCCCTGAATATGAACAGAATGTTTTTTGTATGATTTAACATATAAATTTGTTTCAAATTAGTCAAAACTTAAACCATAATTCAAAGTTATTTGGAAAAGGTTTTATTTTTAATTTCAAGCAGGAGGGAAAAGTTTCAGAAAGCAATATTGTAGGGTAAAGATATTAATTTTACCCTTCCTTCCTTGGTTCCTGAGAGAACCTCTAAAATGTTGCAATTTCCCACAGCAACTGAAATGTCTTTGAAAAGGTCTCCACACCATACCTGAGGGTTTATGCTAATAAGGTGACTCAGGTGGGGGAGGGGGATGGCCACATACTACACAGTATTAGCCAAGTTGGGAAAAGAGACTGGAGATGATTCAGTAATTCATTCCACCTAATGAAGCCCCCCAAGAAAGGCTCTGGACAATGGATGCTCCACAGGCTTCCTAGTTCTACATCAATGCCCATGGGAGGAAAGTACGTCCCTTTTTGAGACATGGAAACTCTCCCACACTTTGTCCTTTGGGTTTCTTAATTTGTATCTTCTGATACAATAAAACTGTAATAGTAAGTACAGTACTTTCCTGAGTTCTCTGAGACATTCTAGTGAATTATCAAGCCCAAGGGAATAACGGGAGCCAGCAGGTCAGAAGTGAAGTAAGTCCTGAAAACTCCAAGCTTACAGTTAGCATCCTGAAGAGGAAATGAGAGACCTGGAATTTGTAGCCAGCACCTCAAAAGTGAGGGTGTCATGGGGCTCCTAAGTTTACAGCTCATGTCTGAGATCATGGGCAGACTTGGCAGTCTGGAGGACTGTACCCTTTAACCTGTTAGGTTGTCAAGCTGTTAGGGTAAGAGGAAGAAATTAATGTGCAGCTGGTGTCAGAACAGAAGTAGGAGAGATGGGAATAGAAGTGACAATGGATTGATTTTTATTTGGTTATCAGAAAAGCTGGAAGTGGGATTTGATTTTCCCAAGTAAATGTAGATTCTTGTTAATTTAATTTCTTGCAAAGACTGATTTGCTTTTTGTTATATAACATTTACCTAAAGCAATCATGAGCAAAGCTAATTTCCCTGCCATTTAAAAATGTATACACTCTGTCTCATGCATTGTGAGACACTGAGCATCCTGGAAGGCCAGTAGTTATCCTCCACACACACACTTACCCAAACACACAGCTTTCCTAACACTGTGACAAGCTCCACCTCAACCCCACTGAAAACTACTGATCAGAATCAACTTACTAGCAACCAACAACAACATGTAAGACAATCCCTGAAGCACTGTCAACTATCCTGAAACTATGAAGTTGAAATTGGCATAGCAGAAAACTGAAGAAATATACATATATATATGTACACTTTTAATTTCACTTGAAAATTCCTTTATTATAGGTATCAATAGCGGTGTAGTAAATTACTTAGTGTGGCTTTTCTACCCATAAGTCTTTGTAAACTCTAAGGTGGGAATTGCTATTAGCTA